GATATTTATTTCTCCAAGCTTATTACTAAACATAATATTTGCTCTACCCTTAATATTCGTGAAAGTAAATGACCTTTTAAATATCTTCGAATATATTTCTCGACTGATGACTTTAAGATCGATACAAGTACTCTCTTGTTAACAAAGTCATGAGTAAGATTAAGGTTGATATAAGGGTTTGCTTTCTTAGAAAAATTATTCTAACCAATTTTATAATTAATTCTATTTCCACTCACATCCTACTTAATTTTCTGGTTTTGAATAAAATCCTTAACAAAATATCTTATATCTCTTTTGGAATGACAATCCAAACTAAGATGGCATGCATCTTATTGGATAGTACATCCTTACTAAACCAAAAGATATCGAGGACTTGGCATCAAAGACCTTATCATTACTAAATAAGTAATATGCATAAAAAGATTAATACCTATTCTTAGCAACAAAAATAAGCTATAGGTAAAAACTTTTATTTCCAAATATGGCACCATGGACCCATGGGGGTCTCTTTCTACAATTATAGCCTCTAGAACTGCTTATATAATCTTCAATTTGTCTCACTCTTTAAAAGGTGATTTAGAATTCTTATTGGCACTGGTACTTCAATTACCTATTGGGATGATTCTTGGCTTAATAATCTCTTGTTCTCCAAATAACCCTCTTTCATTAATGTGAAGGCCAAACATACAATACTACTCCAATGTGGCCGACCTCATTTATAATGGCTTTGGGTGTGATTCTTCTCTACACTTGCTACTTTATTATTTACTAATTGATAGGATATGAGGCATACATCTCTTTTAAAAGACCAATAATGATAGATGAGTCAGGACCCTCTACACATTTAGAAATGTATCAGTACATAGTGCCTATAGTTGCTTAAGCAGAGAGGAATGAACACCTAAGAAAAAGATTGGTCAAGGTAGAAGCCTGTTCAGTAGTTAAAAGTGGCACCAAAAATTAAATTCTTCATTTAAAGAAAGACATCTCCCTACCTCTTCATTATTCTCTAGCATTCTTCATTGTCAAATTGTTTATCGTTATTTTTTTGTGTAATCTTGATTCAAACTCTTCTTCCATCTATTCTTCACTTATGGAATTACTATTATTTTTTAAAATATTTTATGATCCAAACTTGCTTACCATTTCAAGTGATTATATAATTGGCACCTTGTAGCTTATCTTAAGGAAGGTGATGATCTCGATAAACAATTTGTTGATTATCTTTGTAGCACTATTGCCACTGGACTATGTCTCTTTGGATCAGTAGAAACAATGCCAAGCATCAACAACCACTTGATCAATCATCATACCTTGACTCTTAGAGTTCTATCCTTTGCTCATGATAACTATCAAATTGCTTCGTTCGTTGCCTAAGGCCTCCCTTTAGAGAGGAAGGATCGAGAAGTCATCAGTGGAGGTAAGGAATGAATTTTCAATTAAAAATGATGGCTCATTCATAAGCAATATTATATTGAAAAAATCCGGGCATCTCCTCCCCTTTCAAATTATTATATTCAAGAGGTGTGAGTATATCTTAAATTAAGAATATTATAATTCATCCATAATCCATAATGAATCCAAACTAATATTTAAGAATATTAAAAAATATTTAAATATTATTCACATTCATAAAACCTATGTAGTTTATAATCATATACTATCTTACTCCATAATTCACAAAACTCAAAGCCAACATAACAAAACATTAACCACACTTATAAATTCACTAATGTGAGAAACTATATAATTACAAAACCAATCATTTACTGAACTAAACTTTAACATTTCAAAATTCCAAATAGGAGAGGTCTTGTAAAGCTTTTATATGATACATCAATTCAAATTTGTCGATAATATTTTATTATACAAAAAATTACACTTATACAATAATAAAATCAACCCATAAAAACTTTCTCTCTAATAGTTTTCCATTACTTCAGCCTAATTCTAACATTTTAGCAAGTGACAAACTATCCTGAAGAGTTTATATAGCAATAGAGTGAGCTACAAAGCTCAGCAAGCAATAAACATATCCATATCAAAAGAGGAATGTCTCAAACAAATTTTATATCAAAATACAATGTAGGATATAAGAATTTATATATATCCACTAATTGCATACAAAACCATAATGTCATTTCTTCGTAACATATTTGGTTGAGTAAAAAGTAATTAGAGCATACCAATAGCATAAGAAGTATTTCAGAGCATATCGATAACATATGAAATGTCTCATAGCATATTAATGACGTATGGAATATTTCGAAGCATACCAATGACGTATGAAATATTTCGGAACATATCAATGGCATATGAAATATTTCAGAGTATATCAACGATATATAAAATATTTTAGAGTATATCAATGATATATAAAATGTTCCAGAGCATATCAATGGTGTATGGAATATCTCCGAGCATATCAAAATAACAAATAAGAAGCAGAAGCTTAAATATCATATTTGATGTTACATTTAATTTATTCTTATCCAAACTGTACATATAAACATATAAGTAATGCTTTGGATATCATATCAAAAATATAGAGGATGCAATGGGATCATAGATAAAATATGGTCTATCCGTTTCTGTATGACCATCAAATAAAAGTCTCCTACATTTGGGAGCTCCATCCACCCACGTCTAAGTGAAGTCAAAGGGAGTTGACAGAGCATCGCGGGCTCTAAGCATAACTTCATTTTTTATTTTTAGAAAAAGTTCATATTATCTCATAAGTATCAGAGTATAAAAGAAAATTGTGATCAATAAAATTGGTGCAACCACATGCGAGATAATAAAAATATACATGTGCTTATATGAGTCAATATGATGCAAACATAATCTTTCACATAATGTATTCAAATAGGAAAGAAATTAAGGACGAGAGTATATAAGAGTTAAAAATAGTGTCATAAGGCTCAATTAAAACAAAGAATTATAGATGAATTCGGTTTCAAAAAGATAAAACAAAAATAAGCAAAATTAATAAAAGTTTCATTCTAGAATAATATGAAAGGCACGCTAAATGAATTATTTAAATAACCAATTATACTCCAAATTATTAAACATATATTAAATTTTAAATATATATAAATCTACTTTAGATTAATAAAATATTATAGGAATAAGAGTTTTTAAAAAGGAGTTACGAATAATTTAGTGACAAAACGTCAGAAAATATTATCTCTATTCATTCCATATGATCAACTAAAACAAATATTTTAGTAGGCATTTGTACTATAAATCTTTCAAGTATACACAAAATATATTTTATTGAGTTTAGTTTTTAATAAAATATATTTTATATAAATCAGAATTTCCAACGAAAAGTTATAAACAGTTTAAAATTGAAAGACAAAAAATTATAGTCTCTATTTTGTAGAATCCATATAGTCAATTAAAATAGAAGTATGAGCACAAGATATAAAAAGAAATATCTATAAGTATATTTTCAGATAAGGTAAACTTTACCTAAATGAGAAATCAGTACAAAGAGTTATAATAAGAATAAGATAGATAGGTCATAAATTTTAAAATTTTCAGATTTAAAATTTTACATCTAAACGAAAGAAATATTATATGTAAACTTTTTAAATTTCTTATAATTAAGATAAAAGTAGAAATTAAAATTATAATAGAAAGGAGTTAGCACACTTGTACATTCCAAATAAAAGAAATTACTCCAAAACTCTATGCCCAAATCACTTCCTTTCTTCTTCTTCTTCTTCTTCTCCCTCGCAGATGCAGCCCTTTCTTCCCTCTCGTTCTTCTATTTTCTCCTTTCTCATTCTTCCTTTTTCTCTCTCTCACAGCCCTCTTCTTTGAATATTTTACGATTTAGTCCTTGTATTATTTATATTTATGATTAGATCCTTGGGATTTACAAATAGATCCTCAGATTTTTAATCCTAGGTCTTTGCTTTACTATATGATATTTGAAAAGCTGCTGAATTAAATCTAACAACATATGCATCAAGATTTACTCCTTAAAAACTGGTTAATTTTGCTAAGGTAAATAGTCCATGCTTCCTCGGAAACGTTTTGGAAGAAGATATCTTGCTCCTTTTCTCATGTCTCCAAGTAGTCAATGTGATGCATGCTTCTAAGGTCACAAAATGGTGTGGCCTCTCGGCTCGTCAATTTTGGGAGAACTATAATCTCTCTATTTTTTGGGTTGCTTCTGACCCTTGTGCAGCTCAGTTTAGCATTAATGTTATTTTTCTCTTAAAAAAAAAAGATCCTAAAAAGAAGTCGTGTTCCTTTGATATAGAATAATAGCTCACAGTTTAATTGCATTGAATTTTAGTTTCCAATTTAGATTTCTTTTCTGAAAAGAGGTAGTAAGTCAACCTATAATGGGTTCATACAGATCAAAATTTAATTTAGCAAAACTAACAAGAATGTAAGCAAAATTGTTATTGTTTCTATTGATATGTGACCATTGAGCAACTGTTTCAGCATTAGAAAGGATGTCATGACAGACGGAACAAAGCTGTGGTGGAATGCAACTGGGGTTGGATACAAGGATCACGTCACTATGCACAATATCTAAATTCTCTTTAATTCTCCCTAAGTAATCATAGGAAGAATTTACTGTAGATCTGATCTAACCTGTGATGAAAGTACTACTAGATGATTAAGAACAGTCTTACTACTAACTACCCCTTTTTCTATCTATTTTCACAACCATCACACCCTCCTAATATAAATTATGATTAAATTAAGAGGGGATAAGTTATGAGCCGATAAAACTCACCTTAAACTGAATATGAGCTGTTAGCCCAACATACTGGAGTACAAGCTCACAAATGGATAAAGAAGATGTCATAGAATGGAGTTAACAAGAGCTTCAGGATTTGAGACTTTGTTGGCATGTATATAATATTACCAGGAGGTTATCAACTTAAAGAGAGTAGTGCCTTTGTTTGATGTATGCATCTGATAAAGTTGACTGAGAGGTCCATGCCACTGTTAGAAATTAAATGACAATTTCAACCTTTAAATAATGGAGACTTGTGTATCATCGTTACTAGATGATTGGGGAATTATTTCTTAGCAATTGATAAGATTAAAAGCAAATCATCCCTGTTAAACATACAGAGGAGATGATTGCTCCAATAAAAGACCAAATACATGGGCAGAACAATACACTGGTGGAGTGGGTCAAACACAGAGTTAAGCTAGGCGTGGGTCGAACACTACCCATGCTCGCATTGCTCCATGAGACTCCAAGACCATATAGCAGACCCTCTTCTGAAGTCTGGTTTATTACTGGAACTACAATCATATCTCAATTCTCTATGGATGCTAAAAGACTATCCAGCCAATTCTCCCCAGCGGTTGTATTGCTTACAAGGTCAGGATCTTCTCCCTCCACATGTTCTGGAATTTGAGACATTGTATTGCTAGACAGACTAGAGCCATGATCTAATGGACTAAGGTTAGTAGTCATTGCAGCAGCAGAGTGAACATCTACATTTGCATTGATATCAGAAAATGACTCATCACATGGTTGTGATGGAGAAGGAAGCATAGGTGCCTGTTGGTTGTCCATGATGCAAGAGTCGCTACAGTTCGAAACTCCAAGTTCAGATGCCACACTAGCCAATATATCCTGCCAACTCTTCTGGCTAAAATCTGCTGCTGTCAACCTAGGGCATACAGAACACTGCAGTTTTGCTGGTGCAAATTGAGATGGTGCAGTAGTTTGCATCTGACCTACTGAGACAACCGATGTTTTTATCAACAGGTTCTGAGATCTCTGTTGTCCTTCTGGAGGGCAAGGAATCTGTGATGTCACTGTTGCATGAGTAGATTTCTGTGGCACAGCCCTGGTAACATGATTATTACTGGAAATAGTGTTGTCAGAATGGTTATTCATGCTAGCAAATCCAGCTTGTGCCATCCCAGACCTTCTAAATCTTGAACGAGAATTCATAAGTTGAGTGGTCAATGCACCAGAATGCTGACCCTCTTTCTGTACATGTTGTACCCTAGGAACGAATTGGTAGAATTTGGTTTGCTGCTGGAGAGGTCTCTGTCTATAAGAGAGAGTGGAAGGTCGATATTGGTTTCTCTGGTGGATTGCATCTGGGTTTGAGATAGTGGCTGAGCAAGGCTGGAGTAAATTTGGTCTGAGAGGAACTGGATTGAAATGATGTAGTCGTACTGAATCTTGAGGTGGTGGGATATTTAAAGAAGAGTTATATGATGTGAATTTCTGAGGCGGCACAGTCAACATGTTCTTCTGTTTGAAGGACTGTCTCATTGATTTCCACCTTCCCTTATCAGTAGAATGGCAATGGTCGGTACCTAAATCACCATTGCCCCAGTAATTGCAGGGGGCTGGAGAGTCACAGACATAACAATGGCACTGCAATAAGTAGGCATCAAACTATTTACACACATGAAAGCATGATAGAATAAAATACCAAATAAAAAATCTTTAAAGTTTCAGAAAGCATGGGTAGCAAAATTGCAGCAAATCATAATTAGGAGAAATGAATACTAGTCTTGAGTAGAAAGGGCAAGACTCACCAGGTCACAATACTTTTTATGTGGTGAGGTGCTAAAAGGGAAATTAGCACATAGATGTCGTGAATGTGGGTAATCCCGGCATGCCAACTGCAAAAATATAAAATATGGCTAAAGAATTATTAGATGCTGCTACAAGGAAAAGATGCAGCTGTTGCAAAAAGTCATAAACATAAGCATGTCTCTTTTTAAGGTCAAACAGTGAAGAAGCTGCAGATTCCGACATTAGCATTTAGACAATATAAGCATTAAAAACCTATTTCCAATATGCAAATAGAAACTTGAACTAACAAGTTTAAACCCTCAAATAATATGGATGATTAAAATTGGCTAAAAACATGCATAGATAGTAAAAATTGATCATGCATCTGCCACAAAAAAGCAAGAAACATTTATAATAGGTGAATAATCATTTATCTAGAAAGATAACTGTTTGCTGACATCATTTTATGACAAGTTATCCCCTTCTTTTATTTAACAAGTTATCCCACTTTAACCTTGACAAAATAAACATTATATGTCTGTTCTAGGAACAAATATGAAACTTCTCTTTCCTTTTATTTTAGTTATCATACAATCAAATGTGGTATCCATGGACATTTTATCTTCTCCAATTTTATTGTTTCTGACATTACTGTAAAGGAATGTAAAGAAACCCTTGATGAACAAGCAAATTGTGACCACAAAAAACTTCAAAATTTAGGAATCAACAGAAAAATGCTAATCATATAGCACAAGATCTCCTGTTTCAGATACATAACCAATAATGTGGTTCATCAATGGACCAATAAACTTCTTCATGCGCCTCCTAAATTTGAAGAAAAGTGAAAATCTTGTTTTCTAGGGAAAGAGTACTTATATAAATGAAAATTATCACTTTTATGGAAGTCCCAAATTGTTATGCATTTCGCTCATAAGTGTAAATTCAAATTAAACAGACTGGTTTCAAAAGCCAAGGAATTTTCCCATCAATGCACTGCCATAAAGCTCAACTCAAATTTGAAATGCTCCAGAAATAGATCCAAGAACATTAATTGTACATAGATATTACATAGTACCATGAAACTATTTAAAATGGTAATAATAATAAAGCTGAAAGCATACAGTTATAATAATATTTCTCCACTAAAAAAGATTGCTACATTCATACAATGGACTGTGTTGTACAGATCAGTGTTATTAAAAGAGCACCTAGGGGTGCTAATGCATAAGGCTCGCTGAAGCTCAAATTTTGGCCTCACCAACTGAGGCATGTCTTCGGTACACACCTCATGAGCTTTTCCAAAAAAAACCTGTTGCCCACAAGGCATGCCTTTATAATGTTATACTACCTTCATTACTTGCTATGATGTCAATGTAATAAAAGGAGCAAAACTTGGGCTCCTTTTAGCAAGACAAAATGGCCAACATATAGAGAAGGATTTTCCTTTGTTGAAATGCAAAGAAAAACCAGACAGTTGGGTTTCGACATATCATTTCATGGTCCTGATTATCCCAATTATATCTTTCTTCAGTTGTTAATTCCCTACTCTATTGTTAATGTTTTCAACTTCATCTTCACCACCAATGGTGTTGCATTTGACAATTGACCTAACAATCTTTAATCATTGAGCAAATGTGCCAGAACATATTTTTCATTGTTTAGAAACAATTAGATCTAAGTACCGAATATGTTATTTGCATAACTATCCATCATGGATATTTGTGTTGTGTGCTTTGCTTCAACAAGATTTGTGCCTCATCTCGCACCTAGGCTCCAAGAGACCTTAGCTCTTCAATATGCTACAAGCCATTTACTTTGGTACAAAAACAAAATATTAAGTGAAGCTGATATCCAATGTACACTGCTACAAGCCTTATGCTCAAATCTAGGAGTAGAGTGGAATTCAAAAGAGGATCTGAAACTATTTCTTCTCATATAGTGAGGTCTGATGTGATCTACTTATCACCCACCCCACACGTGGCAGAAAATACAAAATGCAGATGACTGAAATACAGAGACATTGGACAAGGGAAAATGGATCATGCCAGCATTATAGAACAGATCAAAGCTGAAGCAGCAAAGAAATGGAGATAGCTGGAGGATTGTAGCAAATCATTTTCCCTACTCAATAGGTTGCAGTTTACACGTACACACACATATAAAATGTACATTCATCAAATTAGATGTTTTTTTAATGTTGTTGACTGTATATGCAATTACTGTGTTATTTGATTCCTGAAGGTATTCATAGCAAATATAGTAATGACACTTTATGTTCATCAGTCATCACAATTTTATTGACTCAATTATGTAACTGCAAAGAGACAAGTTTATCTTACTAGAAAGCACTAAATAAGTTTTTGACATGAAGTATCTTTTTTACAATCAATATTAATATTTGACATTATTATCTTCCAATCAACATAAGTAAGAAATATTAATATATTTTTTTCTCTCAAATTATCTCTCTTTTGCCCAAAATTTCATCATCACATATCATTATTGCCTCTATATGAATGACCATGGAAGCAAAACATATTTAAAAGTTAAATCTTAAAGAAACTAGGGAAGCTGTGGTCTAACTTTAGGTGAGCTGACAGCATTCTCAGAATTGCAACTAAGGAGCATGGTTATTGAAGTCTTTTAAAATGATAAAAGAATATAGTTTTGCAGATATTATTCCAATCAATGGAATCTGACCATGGATATGTTATCATGGGGGTGTAATAGGTGGCATTTAAAGTTAGAAGACAAAAGTAAAAAATTGCCACCAAAGTGTGTTGACGACAATGAGTTAAGGACAACTATATAAATGTCAGCACAGGTTGGTGAGCTACATATTAAGGTTTGTCTTGCTTGACCCTGACAAGAATTAAAAGAATAAACTTGGAGAATTCAATGGTAAACAAACTATATTAACTTGTTGGTAATCAAGGTTGAATTGAATAATCAGAATCTGAATCCACATAAGAAATCAATATAGATGGAAAAAATTTACACCAATGGGACTTGGATACCAAGGCTTCCTGCTATTAGTATAATCATAAGAGGGATGAACTGAAAAAAAAAAAAAAAGTTCCATACTTGCAAAGGAAATCAAAGTTTTTTTCCCAAGATTACTCATTACCAGTTTTGCGGTTCTTACCATGTCAAAGGTATTATTAGTTCTCATTCCCTATAAGACTAAAAGCTTGTTTTTAAATGAACAAAATCCTCCTTCCTAAAAAGCACTAATAAGTTTATCTTTACATGAAGTTCAGATATAATTTAGGAAAAGATAGATACTTTTAAGAAATAAATGGCTAGATAGAGATAGAATATATTGACTGGAAACTACTATGTGGTTCTTCTTTACCAGTAAGGAACTCGTCCCTAGATTGCACAAAGGTGGATCATGTTTCTAAGACCTTTCATAAAAGGTAAATAAGGATAAAGTTGGATAACAGATTCATACTAGGATATTATATGTGGTGTTGCCATGGTCAACATCCGCATACTTTTAAAGAACATTAATCATACTAACTAAATGAACTAGAAATCAATGTTGACAGTACCACAGCACTTTTATTGAAAAGTATTTACAGAAAAATGTACCAAATCATGTGAAAAAAAAATCATCCTGTAGACAATAGCACTGATTCTTTTAAGAAAGATGTCCTAGACTCGAGGCAAAACAACTCTCAGACTAAGATAAATAAACAAAAATTGGACTTTGTTTGTGTCTCGTTGCAACAATAAGAAAATATGTCGCATGTTTCTTATGCAATAAGATTCCTTTAGAATCCTTCAATTAAAATTTCATGCCACCATGACAAATCTGAACAAAGATAATTTAGTAGATCATGCCCATGCTATTATTTGTCATAAAGAATTACATGCACGATAACCATTGCTAAAATAAAAACTGAAATGAAATAACAATTAATTAGGTCTACATAGAAGTGATCAATTGGTACTGGTTAATTCATCAATTAAGTACTATAAATCTAATGAGATCTAAACTATTGTAATGCTCTTGGTCACAATGGATCATACATCATCAGAATCTGAAATTTTTAATCATCTGTTCATGGTGACTGATCAATGAATCAAGTAAATTAGGGAACATATTAATCATGGAATCTTAATAGCAAACAAGCAGAAAAGACAAGTTTCATATTCATTAATCTTTAGTCTCTTCCTTAATTATATGGCTGTCATTCAAAATTTTGCTTAGTCTGGGTTCAAATCTGATCGTGTGTATTTGCACATGCATAATGCTAGTAATAAATATGTTCAAAAGAGTTATCTCAGCTTACTAGATCCAAGGTTAAGCTCAATCAAAAATATTTTAGGTGGAAACAATTGATACTAGCTCGCTGTGAACACATATCAACAGCTAATAGAATGGTGTTTAGATTATTAATGTCCAGTTTGCCAGTTATAATGCTAAGCTAAAAGTATAGAGTTTCAATAAACTGTTGCATGCCCCAAAGCCATATCAACAGGGCATAGAGCATCCAAAATTCTCCGTATATAGCTAGAGACTGACAGTGGAATCATATCATGGTAACGCAAGACAAGGTAAAACGTAATATTTGTAAACACCAACGTTAAAGGGCACAAACTGCACTATGCGAATGAACAAAGTTGTAATTCAGCAGAAAACATGAGGCACACATAAGTAACATGGATATCATGAAAAACAAAAAAAATTAAAGAAAACCAAATTAAAAAAACTTGTACATAACTAGGACATTTTGCTGAACAGCTCCAATATCTACGAAGTTAAACTCAACAGGGATCTATTTTGAATGCTTAACACACATAATCATCACAAAAGAGAGTCGAAGATATAAAATAATATGTTTAGTTCTTATAAACAAGTCTATAAACTCTTTGAGAGTAACATGTGAATAATGTTTTCAAGCTCCACATGTTTCATATGTGTGCCTTCCAATGGACATCCTGATCATATCTGCCTCAAACATCGCAGTCATGATGTAAAACGTACAAAATACTCTCTAGTAACTAAAAAGAGGCAAAACAAGGGTTGAATAATAAAACTCTTCTAGATTTCCAAGGACAGTTTTCTTTACATTTCAATATCAGATTAATGCAATGCAAAAAGGACCTAGGGTACATAGCTTTAGTTCTCAGACTCAGCGGAAGCAATAGAAAGATCTGAGGCTTCAAACGGTTCTTCAAGATCAGTTCTTGGCGTAGCGGTTCTTTACCTTTATTGTCGTGGGGAATGTCCTGATTGCTTGTCTTTACTTATAATAAATCTATATCTGGTAAACACACAAAGTACTAGTGCTAGGCCACATGGAGAATTCACAGTACAATGAAATGCTCCGCGTCCATGTAATTAGAAGGCAAGGCACGAATAATAGGAATAAAGTAAACACCACTACTTTGAGTAGATCACAGAGAAAGAAACATCATTATGTTTATAAGAAGAAGAGAAGGAAACAGAGTGATTCCCCACCTGCCCCTTCTCGGCGACCACGAGAACGTCATCCTCCTCCTCTACACCACTGTCCTTATCGTGCACGACTGCAACCGGCTTATCCGGGCCAGAATCCAGCACCAAGCAGTCGTCGTCGCCGCCGTCCGAGCCACCGCACGTCCCCGGAACATACGAATCAGAATTCGGCTTCCGCCTCTTCGCCACGGGGACCGAGAACTCATCCACGAACACCACGTCGTCCGATTCCTCCACCTGCCGCTCGTCCACGCGATCGTGCAACTCGTCGACCCAGTCAAAGGAGGAGCTGACCAACCTGTCCGGGCCGGAATACTCCTCGTCGGAGCTTATATCGACAAGGACGTGCTCCGGTCCCGTGAGTTCCATCGCTTCGACGACTCAGATTAACAAGAGGATTTCCCAGGAACTGCTCGATTCCACCGACAATTTGGTGCATCGGCTGCGACTTGGGGATTAATGCGGCGATCGTCAACTAAACCTACTTTTCTCGACCAAAAAATACATCTTCGATTAAAGAAAACACACATCAGAAAGGAATAAAACGAGTAAAAAAATTCTTGGTTCAGAAGATTACGAACCAAAGGAGTAAAGGAGAGATTTCAGAGACTAACCCTTCAATTTTCGCATACTACTCTTGGAGACGAGAAGTAGGCAACAGAAGACGGGTTAAAGAGCACCAGTGCGAGCATAAGAGGCGAGAGAATGTGGGGGGCGCTTTCGAGGTTAGGGACGTCGAAGGTCACGTTCAATTTTCTTTTATGATAGTACTTAACAGCGTAGAGAACGCGGCGAAGGTCTCTTATCAGCCCGGCGATTGGACTCCTGCTGGGCTCTGTTATTTGGTCAATGCAGAGGACCGACTGCAAACTATGGCCGCCTCCTAAAGCAAGTCGGATTCAGGCCTTAATCCTTTTCCATCTGTCTACCGCTTCCCGTTGTCGCCTCCCTGCTCACTAAAAGAAGGCGACGGTAAACCCCAGAGGACCGACTGCAAACTATGCCCACCTCATAAATCAAGTCGGATTCGGGCCTTAATCCTTTTCCATCTGTCTACCGCTTCCTGATGTCGCCTCCCTGGTCACTAAATGAAGGCGACGAAAACCCCAGCGGGACCCACTTCGGACATGCGTCCGCATATCAACAGGCAGGTAGCAGCAAGAGTAGGCGTAACTGGTGGAGAAATTAAATTGTTCTTGCAACACCCTCTCATGATGGGACGAACTCCCTCAAATCCGACGGCTTAGATTGCTTCTCTGGAGAGTATGGGCAAGAATTCCCTCTAATCATAACGAACTACCATTACGCCTACCTGCCCAGTTATTGGAGGCGACAGTAACCCCTTCTGGGACCCACTTGGGGCCAACGCCATACAATATCAGCATGCAGGTAGCAACACGAGTAGGCGTAGCGGGTGTCGAAAATATTAAGCTTAAATTTAAATTGTTCCGGCAACACATTCTCATGATGGGATGAACTGTCTCTAATCTGACGGTTGATATTACTCTTCAGGACACGAGAGGCATGAACTCCCTAAACTGGATCAAAGAATTACCATGAAGCCTACCTGCTCGCTTATTGGCAGGAAACCTCAGCGGGACCCACTCGAGGCCATCGCGTCGCGGTATCAACAGGCAAGTGGGAAGAAATATTGCTCAAATTTAAATTGTTAAAAAAATAATAATAATAAACACCTCATGGCGGGACGAACTCCCTCTAATCCGACGGCTGAGATTACTCCACAGGACAAGGTGCCCATCTCGACGTTGCTTCTGGGTGACGGAATAGCATGTTGGAACATTGACGGTTTTAAATTCCTAAGATGGCATATGACCGAGATTAAGTACATCGAGATAAAATAAAAAAAATCAAATGACAACTATATGCGCATTTGGGAACCTTTTAATAATATATTAATTATAACCATCTAAGTAATGGAAGGTATGGTAAACCAAATATTTAATATGATGATGTGGTGTAGGGTACCGGTGACATGGCGCTCAACCACATGTCAAGCTTCATAATTAAAAATATTTAAAATATATTTTCGTGATTAAAAGTATTATTCAAGTCAATAATTTTAAATTAATAAATATAATTACTCAAAAATTTCGGAATAAGTCAATAAAATTTTGGACATGCAGAATAGTTTATTCAAATAGAAACATAATCAAGAAGGATTCAAAATTTATCTTTATGAATTAAAATTGATATAATATCAATAATTACATATAAAAATTCACATAATAATTGCAAATATACGAAAATCACAGAGTTGCCATTCTAATTATGCTGAACTCTTTATTTAAAATAAAAATATAATCAAACAGTATTTAAAAACTATTTCTATATCAAATTCAGATAAAAGTCCTGTAATACATAAAAAATTTCAGATAAAAATATTTGAAATAGTTAGAATATAGAGAGATCAAAATATAATTAAATAATCATTAAAATTAAATTTATAATAATAATTAATTTAAATTGTATGTATTCAATCTAAATATCACAATAAATAATTTCAAATTTATAGAATAATTTCTAAAAATTATAAATCAGATTATGCAAACTTTTAAATGTAAAAATATGAATTTATATATAATAAAATATTAAGAAGAGAACCTGTCATTTTGACGATTCTTTTGCACCTCTTCACTTAAACAATAGCCTTTTTCCATTATGATAAATAGTGAAGATTTTGTCAGCTCAACAAGTTTAGGATTCTGGTAATATAATTTCAAAAATAATTTTTAATCAATCAAATATTATCTATTTATTAATTTAAAAGAGTTGATTTAGGCTTAAAACTCTTTTTTGGATCATCCTTCACCAAATTTAATCATAAAAATTAAATATTTACTTATGATGGAATATTTCGTAATTCATAATTATTTTTATATTTAAATTTTTAGAGACTATATTCTTCCCTCCTAAAAGGAAATATGATCCTAAATTTAATATTACCAGAATATTTCTGATATTATTTAAAACAGAGGCACCGTTAAAAAAAAAACACACACACACACACGCACTCTTTTCCAGCGAACAGAAATCCTAATTTTAAGCTACGACTGAAGTCATACTCAAGCTCCGACCCATCGTCGTCTCAAGAATCCTTTATTGGACGAGGGAAACGAATATCTCCGGGGGATCGGTTCGCCTTCTTCGTTTCCCAGTAATGCCGGCGGCCTCCTTCCCGCCGGCAATGGACCCAGCCCGCCTCCATGCACGACTCATCAAGGTCTCCTCCACCGACCGCGCCCTTCACAACAACCTCATCACCCTCTACTCCCTCTCACCTTCCACCCTTCCCTCGGCCCTCCGCCTCTTCCGCTGCCTCCCCTTCACCCCCACCGCCGCCTCATGGACCGCCATCATCTCCGCCCATTCCAACGACCCCGCCGCTGCCCTACGCCTCCTCGTCTCCATGCTCCGCCGCCCCAAGATCCCCTCCCAGGCCACCCTTTCCGCCCTCCTCAAGACCCTCTCCTCCTCCCTCCCATCATTTCTCTTCTCCGGCCTGCAGATCCACGCCCTCGCCCACAAGATCGCCCTCCCTCGCCTCCCCTTCGCTGGCTCTGCACTCGTCCACTTCTACTGCAAAGCCCGCCGTCCGCGGGATGCCCTCAATGCGTTCGAAGAAATTCCTGATCAAGATGAGGTTTGTTACGGTGCGTTGGTCGTTGGTCTGGCGCAGAACCATTGTGCGGCCGATGCCTTAAGTGTCTTTGCCACAATGAGGTCAGACTCTGCTGTTTCGTCGACCATGTATAGTGTATCCGGCGCCTTACGTGCTGCGGCTCACTTGGCTGCGCTAGAGCAGTCAAGGATCATACATGCTCATGCTGTTGTTGCTGGACTGGAGACCAATCTGGTAGTTAGTACCACCCTGGTTGATGCTTATGGGAAATCGGGTATCGCCTCTGATGCTAGGAAGGTGTTCGAGGGAATGGTAACTGATGCTAATCTAGTCATGTGGAATGCAATGCTAGGGGCATATGCACAACAGGGCGACTCCGAAAGGGCAACCCAGTTGTTCAATGAGATGCTGAGACAAGACTTCCGGCCTGATGAATACACCTTCCTTGCACTGCTCACTGCGTGTAGCAATGCTGGGTTGGCTGATGAGTCCGAGAGATGGATCGAATTGATGACCTCTCGATATGGGGTTGTGCCAGGACTTGAACATTACACATGCTTGGTTGGTGTGATGGCTCGTGTGGGGCGTCTGGCGGATGCAGAGCGCCTTGCCTTGACAATGCCGTGTGAGCCTGATGCAGCAGTCTGGCGGACGCTGCTTTCTGGTTCTGTAGTCCATCATGCAGTGGATATGGCCACGGTTGCTGGCCGGCGGCTCTTAGAACTTGACCACAGGGATGACTCAGCCTATGTCATGCTGGCTAATATATATTCGTCAACAGGGAAAAAGGATGAGACAGCCAAAGTTTGGACAGAGATGAGGGATCATGGAGTAAAGAAGGAAGGTGGCAGGAGTTGGATTGAAGTGAGGGGTGAGGTGCATGTGTTCATCGCAGGGGATAGGAAGCATGAAAGGATGGCAGAGATACATGCCAAGCTGATGGAATTGATGGAGGAAGTCGGCAAACTGGGTTACAAAGAGACGGATGAGGACCTTTGGTACCACAGTGAGAGACTAGCAGTGGCATTTGGAGTAGTGAGTGGATCAGTGCCAAAGGGAAAGTCACTGAGAGTGGTAAAGAATTTGAGGATATGTGGTGACTGCCATGAATTTTTCAAGTATGTGAGTAGGGTGATTGGTAGGGAGATTGTGGTGAGAGATGTCAACAGATACCATATGTTTCAGGAAGGATGTTGCACGTGCAAGGACTATTGGTGAGTTTGAACTTGGTGGCCTCACTAAAAGAGTGTAGATGATGGTGGTGATTAACACCACAGCATCACCACCACTATAAGCTTAGTGCTCTCTGTTGTTGAGGTGGAAGTTCTTTAGGAACACAGTGGAACAAGCAAAGGAATCATACATATTCATCATACTACTAGTTATTTGTTGACTCCATAGAAGAGTCTGTCGCTCAAAATAAGCTCCATTGATATTTCTGTACGTGATTTTGAATGCCTTGGACAAGATGACTCTAATGATAATTCTCTGAGACACTGGAATGGGGATAGTTTTTAGAGACGGAAGGTAGCGTAATAGCCTCAAAATATATGCTAAGACTCTGAGACAGTGACTATGAGAGCATCCACCAAACTTGCTACAAACGCAATTCCGAGACTCACTCAGGAGCCAGACTGTTTTCAACTGGTTGACAGCATCAATTCCTCGAGACCTTTGCATTCTTATTTGGGTGTTCTAAGTGCAGGCATCTCCAGCATATAATTCTTCATGCCGAAGTTGAGGCTGTCAAGGAAGGACCTTAATGTACCTGCCTGGTATGATGATAGCCAAGGGAATCTTGAGGGTCCTTCTCGTTTTGCCTTATGTGTAGATGCTTTTAGAATTTTTCTCGGAAAAGAAAAAGGAATTATTTGGAATGAGATGCTGTACTTCAGAATATTGCTTTTATTTTATTTAACTTATCGATCGCTGTTTCTTTTCGTTCACTCAATCTATTTTTTATACTCAAAATGAAAGATAAAAGGTAATTTTGTTAATTTTTATGAAAAAACAAAAAATAATAAATACATAAAAAATTATGGACATTAGTAAAATTTTCATTTGGTAATCTCGGGTTGTAAATAATGATAACAAAATCTCAAAAATGTAATATTCAAGCAAACCATTTTTATATTTATCCTTTTAAATATAAATTTAGCATATGCATTCCTATAGAACATTTTTGGATAGATGTTATACACGTAAGGGGTACTAGAATCGTTTGTTTCAATTCTGTCAAATTTAAAATTGAAATTATACCAAATGATTCTGATTCATGGTTTCGGTTTGGGAATTGATAATTTTGATTCCAAACCAGATATATAGGTAGATGGTGATAATGCGTGCATAATTCAACATGAGAACAGCCTCTCATCTTCTCTTACCCCTTCCTTGAGGGTAACCCCCACTCGAGGCGGAGGAAAGACATGCATGATCTGGACAAGTAGGAATTTGAAGGAGAAGGGGAGGATAGTGGTTCGTGGTTGCGACTCATGAGAGACAATGATGATCATTAAAGGTGATAGCTTGGAAGGGGTAAGAGAAGATGAGAGGAGGGAAGGAAAGGGATTACCTTCTGCTTGTGGGGAGGAGAAGGGGAAGGGGAGTGTGGCGGTTGATGGCTAGGACTTGTAAGAAGTGATGATGTCTAAGAGATGCGAGAATTTGGAAGAAGCAATGGAAGATGAGAGGAGGGAAGGAAAACAATGGCCTGCCACTCGAGGTAGAGCAACGGCATGATCTAGACAAGGAGAAAGAGGAAGCAGAGAGTGGCAGTCCTCACGAGAGAGAGACGTGAGGACTTAGAAGAGCCTAAAAGGCAACAAAAGATGAGAAGAGGGAAAAGAATCCATGGAGCATTCTTTGGGTTATATATATATATATATATAGAACCAAATAATTAGAAGCTGGTTTAGGTTCGATTCGGGAACTATTGACTAGAGGTTTAGTTTTAATTTTTAATCGGTTTGATTTGTCTTCAAATCGATCCTAACTACTTCGAGGGGTCTATTATTTATTATAAATTTTATAAGGACAGGTACCCGATTTCAGAATTTGTAAATACCATATGTGGATGATTCTTCATTTTTAGAATTTGGTCTATTTCCGTGTTGCTTCGGGGGTATTATTGGAAACACGACATGGCGACCGAGTGCCGTGCTGTTTCTTCGGTCCCCTCACTATTTTGGTCGCCATTCCCCGGTCCGGTTTTTGTGGTTCTCCCCCCCTTTTTGATGTTTTCCTTTCCATATATGCCACAAACCGGTCGAAGGCGTCGCCGGAAGCCATCTTCTCGCTCGCCACCGCGTATCAGCGAGTGGTCCGAGATTTAGGGTCAGGGTTGGGGCTTCGATCGCCGGATCCCTCGCCCACGCTGCCGGGGCGATGCCGTTGTGGAAGGACAAGGTGGCGGGGAAGCTGTCCCGGCTCCTCGCCGAAACCCCCTCGGCCCCTTCCCCTCGGCACGTGGATTCCGCCGTCGCTCCGCCGGAGCCGCAGGTGATTCTGCTTGATCCCTCCTGTCTTTATTCTTGCTTTCTCGTTACCGTTAGTGGTTGGATCTGCTCTTGGTTCGTGTTGTTTAAGATTCTGATGGCACATTGCATTGTTTTCGTTGTATCATTTTGGACATCTACTAATTGGTATGTCTTCCTACCAGACCGTTTCCTTTATCTGTTCTGTGAACCTAATGTTATGCTAAATGGTCGGTTTTTCCTTGTTTGATGGGATGAATGTTGTATCTTGGAAGCCTGAGAAGGGTGATCGTCCTTAAGAGAGATGATTTCCTACCCAGTTTTCCGAACTCACGTGGATCTGAGCCCTTTTTTAAACTACTAGGTGATTGTTCGTCAAGATAACCAATGACATTGCAATCCGAGACACTGGATATCATATCTCGAAATGTAATGGGAGACAATTGACATGAGAAATATTTCACACCAATGGCTTAGCAATACGTGGATCCCAAATTATTCGAATCACGACTCTCAGCTAGGTTGAGACATGAAAAATCTAGGCTCATGCAAGAAATCACTAATACTTTAGCCCTTTTTCCAAGGTTCAGAGTACGTTTGTATCCTTATCAGTTGTGTAATTACAAAACTAATAATTTAGAAGATGCATTTTTTCAATAATTTTATAATAATTTATTGAATATGGGATATCCATTTTGATGCAATTGCATGCTGCTTTATCGTATTGTCCAAATGCATGGTATGTTTAGCTTATATATTTTTTTCTTGCAGGAAATTGGTTCACAAGAATTTGTTTCTCCAAAGAGATCTTCTTTCTTTTCACGCGTTTTATCTCTTCTGAACCCAGCAAGTTGTGGTATCGATGCAAGTGAGCGAAAATCACCTACTAATTCATATGGTGGCAGTTCGTCATCACGGAGAAGACGGAAATTAAAATTTTTTGCACAGAAAGATAGATCACCTAATTTTCTTGAGGAAAGTGTACCACGAAGTGAGAGTGATGCAGTATCTGAGGGTTCAAAGAGAAACATGGACCATTTCTCTGACAATCCCAATGGCTCTCACATACTTGACAAAGCTTCTACATCACATGACTCTGCTGAATATCTTTGTTATCTCACAGACAAGTCTGTATTCATGTCTGCCATCCTTTTTGAGTTTTTTGGGTCATGTTTGCCTAATATTGTGAAGGGGTGCCAATGGATTCTTTTGTATAGGTATGATGTTGCAAAGTCTATTGTTTGCGAGTCTCTGTTACTCTCATTGTTTCTGATATATGTTTGCTCTTTCCATATGAAGGGCAGCACATGGAAACATGGAATATCACTTCACACGCTTCTTCGTAACAGTATTAACCTTCCAGGTCCATGTCTTTTGGTAAGTTTATATTTGTCTGCTAGTTTCTTCTGGTTGCCAATCACTTTGATTGAGAAAACTACTAACATCTTCATGAGGTATTTCAACCATTTATCTGTTTCACCCTGGGGAATGTTTCTCGTGAAATTGATTTTCTTACTTGCTAGATTGTTGGAGATATGCAAGGTGCTGTATTTGGTGGCTTTTTTGATGGCCCTTTAAAGCCTGCACCTAAAATGAAGTACCAAGTAATGCTCCACAAACTTGTCACAATGAAACACATCTTCTTGTAAAATCTTTTTATGTTGCTTTTGTAATTTCTCAAGTTTGATTATCATCATACACTTGGGCAGGGCACAACTCAAACCTTTGTGTTCACTACAATTTATGGGGAACCAAGGCTTTTCAGAGCAACTGGTAATTGTTTCACTCATGTACATATTTTAAATATGCACAAGTATTTATATTTTCCAAGCTCTTTTTGGGACCATAAGGAACTTTTTGGTGTTATAATCGATGATGTTTTTCTGATTTATTAGCAACTAGGAGATATCCTTTTGAAAATACCAATATTATATGTCTGGAATGGTATATAGATCATTGATAATCCTGTTTAGTCTTGCTTAACCACTTCCAGGACAATATTGACTATTGACACTACAGAAAATAATTCTGTACCTTCCCATCCTGTTGTTTTTTCTGTTGACTAATGCCTGACATTTTCCAGTTTGATTCACTTGAAATGCTCTCAAAAATTAGATTCTACCATTGTCAAAGTTGGTGATATTTTTGGATCAAATAGTTAGCTGGTAATGGATGTACACACATTTTTTCATTACTACTTGTTAAAGATGGTAATGCCATCTAAGCACTGACAAATTAGACCATCATCATGGTTTCTTTGTTAAAAAGAAATTTGGTTGTCACAACCAAGATTGTGTCAGTGAGTTAGTGGTTTATATTTTTCTTGTTTGGACAGCGGGCCAGCAACTTTTTGTCCACTTTGTAGTCAAGCTAACAAAGTTGAGATTGTTCAATTTATGAGGTCCCCAGTTGTAATTTATTGATGTCAATGTCTCTGCATGGATGGTCTTACAGTCAATAGGGGCCAATAACATGTATGAAAGTTTTAGGACACTGTTTTCTTAGGAAAATTTGTAAGAATCAATTTAAGCCTCTGAGGTTTTAAAAACTGGATCAAGCAGATAGCGATGAGCATAATTATCATTTGAAGTTCATAAAGCTCACTCAACATCGACCAGCATATTTGATATAGTTTACCCAGTAGCTTCATGGGAATCTTGGGTACAAGTTTTTGGATGCATTAAAAGTTAGTGCTTTTTGGCTTCTTGTTATGTTGGTGTTTGCTTAGAAATTAGTGCATTACAGATTGGCTTTAACTGGTTTAGAAGTCATCATGAAGAAATTTATATATAGTGTAAGATGTATTTTAAATCAAAAGGACTTTTTTCACCATTTTTTATGCTACTTAAAAAAATGACCTATTTAATTTTTGAATTATTACATCCATTGCTGGGTTAAGAAATACTATTACTTCCTCACAGAAGCACGTCAATGAAGAATACTTTTTTTTGCTACCTTATACAATTCTGTGCCTATCTGGAATCTTTGTCCCATTAAAGTGCTTTAATTTGACCTGCCTTTAACTCAGTAGTCACATATACTGAAGTTTATCCAGTGTGTTATCTGGGTCATGGTTCACCATTGTAATGTATATCCTGAAAGAAGGATAGAAGAAATTTGTCCCATGCATAGTTCGAAAGAGAGTCAAAAAAATATAAAATATAGAATTCTATCTATGATTCTATTTAATTTCATATTGCTCTCATTCTCGATATTCCTTTCTACCATCTGTGGTTTCTTATTTTTATTTTCATTTTTTTCATCTCTTGGTATGATATATTTCAGTTTGTGTTTGTACTTTCCATTCACTGCGGACCAAACATGATCCTTTATGTAGTCTAATTTGGGGTTATATATTTATTTTTAACAATACCTTAATTTATTGTGCATAGCAATTGCCCAAGTTTTGATGGCAACAGTTTTCATACACAGATCATACAGATTTAAAGGTCTTTATCACATTTAGTATATCTACTAGTTTATGAAGTGTTCTCTTGTACTTACTAGTACTACTCAAGGTTTGCAATTTCCACTATTGGTATGTCAAGACTCGGACTGGTATCATATGGACCACTATCGTATTGGTCTACTTTTATGTACCAAGTTTTGAAAAAAACTTAAAAAGACTGAAAAACAAAAAAAAGAAACTATCTGGTGCAGGGCCAGTTTAGGTGGTATCGACCTATACGGACCTATGGGATACATCTTTGGTAGGAGCATACCACCCAGTTTGCTTGGTAATGTCTAGGTAACCTATCAGACCTGTAAATATTGTCCATACCAAATCATACCGAATGGTGCTGCGGACATTGCTCATACTAGTATATGTACTAGCTTCTTGTGTACCAGATTATTTAGATTCAAAGGTTTCTATCATATTTGTAATATCTGCTTTTCTCTAATATAGTAAATATTAAATATTTCTGTGGTCTATGACTATAAAGATAAGGATTATTTTTCTTTTTGAAATTAAATTATCTAAAAACAATTGACATCAATATAGTTGAGGATGCCAATATAAAGTTGCTCCTTTACAACCTAATTGCTAGTGTTTGAGTTACAAACCCCACATATCTGCATGCAAGAGTAAGATTAACCATCCTTTTAGTAATAGTATAATGTAATACCATTGAAATGGAGTATGCATATTTTGATGAAGATAAAATGAAGCAAATGTATTAAGCATTGTTAATTGTATACAACAATAATATTGGGACATTGCTTGTAGGTGCAAATAGATACTACTACTTGTGCTTGAATGATGTACTGGCATTTGGTGGGGGTGGAGGCTTTGCATTGTCCCTTGACGAAGATTTGTAAGTAATGTGCTTTTAGCTTGTCTTTATGAAAAATTTTAAATTGAGCAGACTGTTGGAGTCAATTTTGGCTTTCCTTTTTGTTTGAGAAGGTTACATGGAATTAGTGGCCCATGTGAAACATTTGGAAACTTATGCTTGGCTCATAGTCCAGAATTCGAATTGAAGAATGTTGAGGTAATATTTAATAACGTATCTATGATATCTTTTGATGCCTTCAAACATCCAAAGAAGTTCCTACTATGCATGTATGTTGTTTCTGGTTTTTGATTGTATATTATATCTAAAGTTCAAATTTATGGCATTTTGGGAAGATGACATAGTTAAATATGTTATTTCTTCAAGGCTTTGCATGAAAATAGTGAAATTGTCTGCTTTTGATGAACGCAGTGTTTGGTTGAACATGATTGTTTAGACACTAGAACAGCTCTACATTTGTAAATGTGCAATGCTCCAATTGTGGATAACAGAAGAATTATTAAATTCCTGGTGCAAGGAAGCTGAAGTGAAGAAGTGAAAACAATAGCAGGGGGAAGATTGGGGATATAGACAACAACCGAGAGAGAGAGAGAGAGCGAGATGTTATAGTAGGCAAGGGCGTAACAAGCAGTCAATGCACATGGCCGTTATGCTGATTAAAATATCTTTTATTGCTGCCAGTTAACATTGATTTATTTCACTAGTGGATACAAAATTTAACTTGTCACATGAATTTAGAGCTCAAACCTATCTTATTGGTCCCTTACACCTAAAATTACTTTTTCCTAATTGAATACATTAATCTTTTCTCATTTCTGCATATTTATTGGGTTTGCTGTCGATTTTTTTTGTTTGCCATGGAAATCCCTTTCAGGTTAACTGAAGTTTTAATTACTAGCATTAGCTTTTTGCCCTGAGGTTGTTGGATCTTCTTTTATTGTTTGCATTATAATATTATCCTTCTCTTTTATCACCAATAAAAAATCGTGTACAACGATATGAAGATAAAATCAGCCCCCGTATCTTTGAATTAATATTCTTCCATTTCTATCCATGTGACTAGCCCCCATGATTTGTTCATACTTGGAGTTGTGTATTAATGTTGTTTTAATAACCAGAAGTATGAAAAAATTTGAAAACTATTAGACTGATTAGGCATGCACATTTCACCATCACAAGAAGACAAAATGATGATTTTGCACCCAAGGGGAGAAGAAAACTTGGATCCTTTTAGTTAATGGATGGTGAATCTTAATGGATATGAATTGTCTACAAGAAGATTGGAAAAAAGTGTCTAGTGTGAAACCTCCTACATGAAGCAGGCTGCTGTAGTAACCAAAAACCACTAAACACTTAGTGAGAGGTGACCTGACATGCATGTAGGAATATGTGACTCAACCCTGTCATTTCAGTAGTCTTAAGTTTTCCTTTATATTCAACTCTTTAATGGAAATTTTAATGTCAAATACTCAATCATTACTTCAAAGTTGTTTGAAGCTTCAATCGTTCTCGGTTATCTATTGTTATATGTTTTTCTGTATCTGAGCCTGTTGTCATTACAATAATGCAGTTGTGGGGTTTCGCTCATTCATCTCAATATCTCACCTAAGTGGCGTCAAAGATGCTAATTTTCTGTTAATTATTTATTTAATTTCTTCTATTGAGAAGAAATACATTATTGAATTAATACCTCTGTTCTACATGATATGGTGTGCGTCTCCCAAACTGTTTCCTGTAACATGAAGTTTGTACTTTTTGCTCCATTATTTTGTTGGATCTGAGATGACATGTATCGAGTGTCTTTGTACAATGATTATTCGGAGAATCACGCAGATGTGAACCGAGTACCCAACCCCGAAATGTATGATATTTTCTCTTTTTTAAATATGACATTGAAGTGCCCTAGCCCTGTTCTTGGTTTTGGAATCGGCTTTGGAAACCGGTGATTTCTAATTTTTTACAGTCAAGAATCAAACCAAATCGAACTAGACCGTTCGATTTGACAATTAGAATCGACAATCCATGTTGGTGATTCTGATTTCGATTTGAACCATCAATTTTTATATTTTTAATTAAAAATAATTTAGAATATAAAAATATAATACTTTTTTAAGATTTAAAAATTGGATGTATGATGAGTGTAATGTTTTAGAAAAAGTTGATTTAAAAAAAAGTAAAATTATAAAATATTTATTTATTTTTGGTGTCAAATGTTTTAATTATCCTTTTGGTTGATATGTCAAATATGCATTATTGTCTTTACGGATGATCTCTCCGTTTTGAAACTTTGCCTTGGCTTAGTTGTCGTGCTTGTTTGAGTTTCATTTTTCTTGGGAATGCATCTCCCACACTAATTTGTTTGATATTTTTATAATAAAAGTACATAATAATTTTTTATACTCAAAAGATTTATTAAGCAATTCATAGGTAGAATTTTATTGGGTAGGAACATCCATACAAAATCTTTTAGACCTTTTACTATTTAATTTACAAAATCTAACCCACAATTTCACTACTTGTGGATGACCTCACAAGAATGAAATTGCTTACTTAATTGGAGAAAAAAAAAGTTTCGGGAGATCGTAAATCTTCTTGTACATATAAATTTAAAACATAACGAAAACACCTAATATGAAAAATAAAATAAAATAAAAAGTCAGTTGAGACACTTCTTGTAATTTATTTGCATATGCATGATCAAAACCAATTGAAAACATTTTAAACACCAAACAGTATTTTTCTAAAATAATTTTTGTCATTCTATAAATATTATCGACATATGTTGTTCGTAAAAAACTCTAAAGGCAATTTTTTTTGCATGGCCCAATCACCATCAGTTCAATGACAAGTGATACTCATATACAAGTGCATTTGCCGGTGATTATTTCAAATATCAATAAAATAAAAACAACACAACCATCAAAAGCTTGAGATAACTTTTGTCAATTTTTTTTAAATAATATGTACAGGGTGAGTAAAATAGTTCGAGAAACATGTTGGGTACTGAGATTTAAAATGTTTTGATAATAATTAATAAAATTATTTTTTTTATCAAAACTAAAAGATAAATGTAATTCGTGTCATATTAGCTAGAAGACTCGAAGGCAGCACCTCGATCGAGCTAACATGCTCTTAAGTTGTGTATCTTGGTTAAAAAACCCGAGACCTACTCATTGGCTAAGCTAACCCACTCCTAAGTCATACACCTCGACAAAAAGGCCCGAGGGCTACACCTTGACTAAGCTAACATACTCCTGAGTCATGCACCTTGGTTAGAAGACCCGAAGGATGTACATCGATCGAGCTAACATACTCTCAAGTCGTGCACCTTGGTTATAAGACCCAAGGCTTATACCTCGACCGAGCTAACACGCTCCTAAGTTGTACACCTCGACTAAAAGACCTGAGGGCTACACGTTGGCCAAGTTAACATGCTCCTAAGTTATGCACCTCAGCTAAAAGACCCGAGGGCTATACCTCAACTGAGCTAACCCGCTCTTAAGCCATGTATCTCGGCAAGAAGACCCAAGAGTTACACCTCGGTCGAGCTAACATACTCCCGAGTTGTGCACCACGACTAAAAGACCCGAGGGTTGCACCTCGACATAGCTAAAATGCTCTCGAGCTATACACCTCAATAAGAAGACCCAAGAATTACATCTCAGTCGAGCTAACGCGCTCAGCACCTTAGCCAAAAAATCCTCTAAGGCAAACGCCTATCCAGGTTACACACCTCAATGAAAAAGCCGATTTGGGAGGGACATCATGAGTGTACCCTAATATGCCCCATATTAATGGATGGCGGCATAGTGTAGCCTCAGTAATCCTTCCTGCTAGACGAAGGACGATATGACCATTCCTACAATAGCCCCAACGGTCCTCCAAGCATAGCCCGTCAGCAAGCTACTCGTCTTAACATCCCCACCTCACTAGGATTAGAGCACGAGAGGATAGAGAGAGATTTTCACTATCATGATCAGTCAGGTAAACTTAATCTTATCTTCGATCAACCAGTACGAAGGTTAGCCAGCACAACCAAGCGCCTAAGTATAAAAGCCGCCCACCAACTCAGGCTGGTAGGGCGATAGAGAGAAACTCGACACTCATTTCATTATACAACTTATACCACTTTCTCTCTTTCTACCTCTATCTCGCACTAACTTAAGCATCGAAGGGATTGAGCTGTGAAGCCCCCCCCCCCCCGACGCTGACCTATCGTGTAGGACTGCTGGCGCCCAAGAGTCGATCCCATTATCGAAAGGTGACCTAACAACCAAGAAAGGACCATGTACAAAAGAAGATCCTGATCCCTTTATCTGACCTCTCTGCTCCTAGGTCAAAACCTCCCTGACAAACAGCCTCACGTGGACCTCTTGCATTGGTTCACCGTGTCAGCAGCCCTACATTTGCATGGAGGAGACGTGAGGATGGACCTGCACCTTTGATAGTAAACCAACTGGGCTAACTCACAAGTCGATGATAATCATGACACCATTAATAGTTTATATCTTCTTTTTGATTGAATTATTTGGTCACTAATCTAGCCTTGTTTCGAATTATGATATCTTATTCATCTTGTCATTAAATCTAGGAACAAATATCCAAACTTTATTTCTTTCAAATTGATTTAGTTTTTCATGTATTATCGAGACTCATTAGTCATCTTTAAGAACATTATGTATTTAGACTCAGTTTGAAATAAAAAAATAATATTTATATAAATATTTTTTAATAAATAATGAGTTTGAATATCTTTTGATATATCTCTAATAATTAGCTATTTAGGATGTGCATCTATATATTTTCATTCCTCGAGTAAACTTAGATATATCCAAGTTGCTTTTGGAAGAAAAATCTATATTCAAATTTAATTTATCAAATCTAAAATCATAATCATAATCATTTTTCGTAGTTACAAGAGATTCATAAAAAATAATTTTTTCAATGATCAAAGATCTCTTATTAAAAACTTGATAAGCTTTTGATATAGAAGAATATATCAAAAAAATATCTTCATCGAATTTTGCATCATTTTTTTCTAAAGCATTCTTATCATTTAAAATAAAATATTTATAACAAAAAACTTTGAAATATGAGATGTTGGGTCTTTTATTGTTCCACAATTCATAAGAAATTTTAGATAGATGAGATGTTATAAAAATCTTATTTATGACATAACATATTGTATTAACGACTTTAGCCCAAAAGTATTTTGGATAGATTATATTTATTAAGTATGGTTCTTATCATCTTTTATAAGCTCATATTTTTTCTTTTAATAATTTTATTTTGTTATAATTTTTTTGGAATGGATAAATTATGATCATACCCATTCAAATCATAAAATTCTTTTGAAGTATGATTTTTAAATTCATCACCATAATCACTATGAATAGAGAAAATCATAAAATATTTTTTTATTTTAAACTTATTTATAAAATTTAGTAAAATATTTAAAATAATAATTTTTATGAGCTAAGAAGTATGTTCAAGTATATCTAGTATAATCATCAATAATCACAAAAGCATATTTGTTACCTCCTAGACTTATGATATCAATATATCCATGCGAGATTAATTATAAGATTCTTGAATAATCTCTACTTAAATATAATTCTTTTGTATATTATCTCATATAAACTTAAAGAATTTATATATTTTTTTCATCCTGTCCAAAAATCCTATAGAGTATCCTCTTTCATATTTTATAGAAAAACTTAAATTTAAAGATACACAACATATTTATAAAATAATTAAATCTTAATTTTTAGATTTTATTCCTTCATGACAATTTTTTTTCCTAGAATTCTGTCCTCTAAAAATATTAATTCTAGAAATCCTAAAATACTTATCAAATCCCAATACCATCCACAGTATGTGTCACAAAGAGTTAGCTAAAAGATCATGAGTTTTCCAAAAGCTAACCCTTCTTGCCATAATTTAGTCTGTTAAGGCTTTAGTTCAACTGCCTATCCAATAAATTCTAGTAATGTTTCTTAAAGTTACACTCAAAGAATATACTTGGTAAGTATTTTTTAAAATTTTTTAATTAGATTATATGATGGACAAAGAATTCAAATATCAAGAATTTCTAAACAAAGAAAATAAATCTTTGGATATTAGAACTTGATTTCACATACATCTTATTCTTTAATCATTAGCATGCCTCTCTAAGTTACCCAATACATTTATCGATTGACTTTTATCTCATGGATGTGTTGTTTTCATCACATTAAATTTATGTGAAAATAATCTCTATATTTAGAGGTAAAATGGTGTATATTAGTTCTCTTTAAATCCTGTATTAATAGAAACCCAGTACAATGGATCTGTCGAGAAACTCTATATATATATATATATATATATATATATATATATATATATATATATATATATATA